AAAACCCCTTTCTTTTAATGCATTATGTAAATACATAAACCACGTTCATGGAGCTTGTTTTAACCCATATGTAGATCTTTTCAACTTGCAACCATGAGTCTCTAGATTCACCATGAAGACCTGATGGTTGTTCCTGTATACCTCTTCAACTAACTTTCAATGCATAAAGGCATCCTTAATATCCAATTGAAAAAGAGACGAACCATAGGCTAAAGCAAGGGAAATACCCACTTGATTGTCACTATCTTAATAATCAGATTAAATGTTTCGTCATAATGAAGTCCTTGTTGATTAAACCCTTATGCAACCAACATTGCTTTAAACCTTTCCCCACTACCACTGACTTGTACTTCACTTTATAAACCCAATTGCACCCCACTACATTTTTATCTGCAGGTCTAAGAACTACCTCACAAGTCTTGTTGAGGTACACATGCAATGGAAGTTTCACATGTTTATCCAACTGACACCCATGACACACCAACGAAGATTGAATCTCAAGACTAGAAGGAACTAAGCCCTCTTTAAATAATTTATTCAAAGACTCATAACTACAATGACCTAAATGTTGATGCCAAACACTGGCATCTTCGTTGACACTACGAGAAAAAAAGAACAATGGGAGCTTCTTCTTGACATGATCATCAACAATGTAAAGCTGTCCCAACGAAACCCTTTAGCGCACGCTATCACTAATTGTTGTTCCTTCAAAAATAACAAAGCAGAGATAGATATACATGAAATAGTATTTTCTCGGGCTAACTGAGAAATTGGAATAAGATTTTGACACTAAGGAACAAAGAAATATTAGATAAATAGATAGGACAACATGAGGAGTAAACTATGACACTTCCTACATGAGTGATATTGAGGGTGGTTCCACCACCAATCATAATAGAGCCATTACCACAGTAAGGAATTGGGGATGAGACCATATCTTTATCACCTAAAACATGATTTGCAGCACCACTATCCACAACCCAACCTATCTCCGTAGGTGACGTGATAGCTAAGTTCTCAAAGAGAATGATTTAGGGCAGAAACTTGACTTTTAAACCGGTTGGGTTTTATGATGATCAAAGACTTAATGGCTGTATGATTCTTCCTTCCACATTTCTGGCGAACAACACCATCATCTAAAGAGACAAATAATCCTGCTGAAGAAGTAGGTAGCAAACTGCAACCTTAAATATGATGAAAATTAGTTCTTCCACCTTGACCTCTACGTCCTCTACCTCTTTTGCCTCTACATCTTCGACCATGATCTGAATTCCAGCCTGTGTTAAAATTTGGATTACTTTTTGACAATAAAACAGAATGAGAATCGATAGTAGAATACTTTTTCAATGAGGGATTGAGGTTGAATAATGCTTCCAGTTGCAACAATAATAGTTGCATTTCACTAAACAAGGGAAATGGAGTCTTCATCAACACAGAGGAAACAAACACTTTATAATCATCCCCTAAACCTCTCAAAACATAATGCATCTTGTCCCTTTCACTGGATCTTGCACCATAGCAAGCTGATCACATAGGGCTTTTATCTTGTTATAGAATTCAGAGGTTGACATATTATTCTTACAGGCATGAAGCTCACTTCAAAGATGCATAATTAGGGTTTTTGCTTCTTGGGAAAATAAGTCATGAAGGGCCTCCCAAACTGCTGCAGTAGTTGGTAAATTAATTACATTATGAATAAGTTCCTGTAAAAGGGTGAGGTTCTGGTCCTTAGATATCCAATCATCATAAGCGGAGTGAGATCAATCTTCTAGAGGAAGGAAATATGGAGTTGATCACGCTGAGGGCATACTCAAACCTGGCTCTGATACCATGAAAAACATAGAAAAGAAGAGGGAAAACAGGCACACACTTGAAGACACATACCAGGGCACAGCCCTAATGCTTGTGTTATGATACATAATGTTACACCTTGAGTAAGGACATATTTGCCCTTAGACATTACAGCAAATAACTTTACAACATAAACCAGTTAAAATAAACACAAATTATGGAACTGCCCTCATTTGCATTCTAACAGGAGACAGGGTTCTTTTCTGATTTGATTCTTGGATCGGTCATTGGCCCCTTTAGTAATCTAGGCCTAATCTCTTTCAAGTTGCAAACTCACCCTCGGGCCGCGGCTACTGTCCCAAAGTGTTATGACCCCTCCTTCAGTTTGGAGCCCTACATTTAAGAGACCGCTCACTAACTTCGAATCTAAAGACCTTATAGCCCTTTTAAACCTACTCCGATCCTTCTTTCTTTCGAACTCCGATCCTAACAGTGTTATTTGGATCCACTTTCCCTATAGTAACTTCTTGATATCTTCTTTCTATCGGACTTTATTTTCGTCCCCCTTTCTTGTTTCCCCCACTAAATCAGTGTGGATTACTTCAATTCCTCCCAAAGTCCAAAGCCATTTGTTGATTAGCCATCCTTAATCATAACCTTACTGTCGATCAACTTCAGAGGACTCCACCTACCTAACAGGTGTAGCCATTGTTTAGAGGCTGAAGATCGAACCTGAATCCCTGGAGTCTAGAACCTGTTTTCTACACATTTTTCATCTCTGCAGACGTCTTTGAGTCGACTTTTGTCATATTTGGTAGAAAGCTAATGTGCAGGTGGACACATTAGCCCAGGAGGGAGCTGCCAGCAGGGGGCCACCATCAGAGTCCTAGTTTTTAGGTTTGCAGACATCCTTTACCTCTTAAGTCTTTGTTTTTTCTTTTATTTCTCTTGCCCTGTCTTCTCTTATGTCTCCTTCCGCTCCCTCTCCTTTCTCTTTCTCACTTCGCATCTCTATTCTCTACTTGCTCTTTCCCTCTGTCATCTTCTTTTCCTTATGGAGCACTTGAGTTGTGAAAAGGCCCTCTTCTTAGTCTCTATCCCCCCGTGTCTTTTATCCTCTTCTCTCTCTGCTCTCTCTCTCTCTTCCTCTCCTTTTTCCTCACTCGGAGCACCTGACTTTGGCTTACCACCAAGTTTTCTCTGGGCAATGAACTTGTGGGATTCCTTCCTCTTCTCCCTCTGTACTCCCCTCCAACCCTTATTTCTTCTGCCTTTTTAAGTCTCGCACTCAATTATCTTTTAGGGCTTTCTTAATCCATGCCTCTTCTTATCATTCTTTATTGGGTAAAAATTTAGCATCATTATTTTTGTAATAGAGCATCAGGTTTGTGGGCTGCCTTTCTCTAAATTCTTATGAGGAATTTTGTAAGTATTTATTCATATGCTATAAGTCACCATTATCAAAACAAATAGTTAAAGACAAGTAGCTGCTTTATCTTGCATACATTGTCTTCGATGAACTCCACTCAGGCCCACTCTGGGTGTGTGATGGTAAATGAGATTCCAAAACTAGATGCACTGACAAAATGTAAAACTTAAAACATGTTCATTACATGAGGAATGAGCATAAAATCAATGGTCTAATGTTTATACACCTACAAGCCTAACTAAGGACGGATGTTTTCCATCCTTAAATACACTGCTAAAATTAAATTTCAAATCAACCAATCCCTCCAAAACCAAGTAGAAGAACAAAAATCATAAGAAAGAAAAATGATTTTTCATTGATTAATTGGGGCCTGTTATAGGGGGAAGAAGAATGTGAGTCTATACACAATCTAGTAATGGGATGGAACAAAGATGGTCTGAATGAGAACACACAACTATAAAAAAGGAACTATGAATGAGAAAACGCTACTATACAAATACTGCATAGGCACTCAAAAATTCTGTCATAGCCACAATGACAAGTTTATGGATGGCAATTCTTCCATTTGGAGTGATATGAACATTTAACCACTAAATGGTTGAGATTAAGACATCAACGATATTAGGCTGACATGGTCAAGCTCAATGAATTACAATTCCGAAACAAGAAGGTGTTGTTTGTCTATCCTAATACAATTCATAAGCAATTTGCAATCCAAATATCTGAATGGATAGTTAGAACATTGATAATATTGTGCATGGCTTCTTCAGGAATTGATGGAAACTAAATGCCATATTGTTTGTTTTATCATAGCATACAAGTCAAAAGAGAGCTATGCTGTACTAACATCAGAGAGAAATATTACCCCAAGTCAGCTCAAAGTTGCAACACTTCCACCCAATTCCCAACCTGATAGTTACAGGTGGAAATTCATCCCCATATAAATCAAGGGGAAGTGACACAGCACCTCTCCTACAGCTCCAACCATGTATCATGGGAGGCAACCAACTCTACTTACTTGGTTATCAAGCTCCATGGAGCCGCATACCGGTGATGGGTGGTTGTTTCTTCATTCCCCAAAGAGTTTAGAGAGACTTTATTAACAAGATACAGTCCTATAAAGATAATGGTTGAAATGATCAACCAGTTATTCAGGAGATCGCAGAACACAACGGAAGAAATCATTGAATAAGTAATAGCCTGTACTGAGGGGAATATGAGTAGATCTTACTCACTAACCAAAATCCTCAAGCTGATACAAAGGTGTTGATGAGAACCAAAAAATTTACTAGGGTGCTGGACATGCCAGATGATTCATTCCAATCAATACTCTTTAACTGCTCCGAAGATATTGATTGGCAAAAAAAAAACCAAAAAAGTAGAGCACAGAGCTTTCTGTAGGACTCAACCATAATATGAATACATACAACTTTAAATTCTAGGAATATAAGAGCCTTCCATCTCTAAATCCCACGTATGCCCTATTTTAGAGAGCAAAACAGAGACAACCATGATGCAACCATTCTTGAACACATTCAGAGACCTCAATTGTTAACATCAATATGTATTTTGCTATGATAGATAGTGCATTATCGTCCAAAGACATTTTTCCAGTAATTTAATACAGCAGTGTGTTCAAAGTTCACTCCATGACAATGTTCAATGTCCAATGTCCATGTGTATATAGAAGCATATTTACATTATATTGTAGCACCAATATGTATAATATGTATAATTCCACTCGTAAGTCACTACAGATTCCAATAATAAAGACACTTACGGTCAATGGCCTCATCAGTGCGAAATCTTTCAGTAATTTTATTTCCACTGTCCACATCACGGAGCTCTACCTGTAAAAAGACAAAAGAAATGTTTTTTGTGTTTTTTAACTACCAATCACCTCAACATGGAAAAAAAAGAAAACAAAACATCTAGGACACTTAGTAGCACAAAAGAGTTGAGAAAGTATTGGCTTCCAGCTCACTTTTTGGTCAACAAAATTAAGAGATCTAGACTTAAAAGGAATAAAAAACTTTATCCAATTTCGCTAATAAGGAACGTTATTTTCATCCTCCCCCACACCCCCGCACGAAAAAAAAAAGAACACACTCAGCTTTCCACTCGTAACATGTGTGAAAAAGAAAAAAAATGAAATGAAGAAGAAAGTGCCATATGGACATGAATGTGGAAATAAAAAATTGCTCAGGTTGCCGTCTACGAAGCACCATGAAGCAAGCGGTCACTTTGGCGCTTGCCTATCCTGTGACCACATGACCGCCTAGCTCGAGCACCCAATAAATTTCCCCTAACCAAAAGCCTTTCAGACATAAAAAGCCCCCCAACTTCTCCAACTTTAGTGGAAAGAACGCTTTGGGCGTTCTACATTTGGACAAATTCAAGTTAATGAAAAAGTATTCGTTAGTTAATGTGTTGGTTAGCTTCTCCATACTCTTAATGTCACCTTTATAAAGCATCTCTATGAATTCCCAATCATCATAGAGCCTCTACTTCAAAGCTGACACATCCTGATAAAAGATTTATCCCTAAGCAGAAGTTTTATACTCCAATTCAACCCATAAGAAGAAATGAGTTACATAACAAGTTCTTCTCAATGAAAAAACTCCCACAAAGCACGCTCTAATCAGTGCCCCCCACATCTCCAGAAACAAATGCAGCATGGAAAAGGATATGCAGAGAAATGGATCAGTCATCAGGAATCTCATCAAGAAAGAATTTGAGGGAGAAAGGGAACTCAAAACACCAATCATACATCAATAACAATGACAAGTTATAGAGAACCATACAAAGGGAACAGATGGAATAGCTGGGTAGTTTGGTTACCATTCTGCATTTTCACAATGCTAAATAGTGGGAGTCAACAATGATTAGTGAATATGTTCCAGCTCCATTTTAATGGATCATGTTGGAAAAGACCCATCACCGGATAGGTCATGTTTATCTTTGACTTACCGGTTATCCAATTTTAAGATGGATGCAAAAATTACACATGGAGTAACAGAATCAATGAAAACTTAACCTGTATTGTTGCTCCACCTCTTCCATGCTGAGTATGTTGTGCTTTTAGTACCTAGATAACAAGTTTTACAGCAAGGATATAATTATGAGTTGCCGTAACCATTTAGGAAGTAATTTTCATGAGAAAGGTCATAATAAAATAAATTTAAGTTACTTAGAGAACAAAGCTCACAGAAAATCTCAAGCATTTGATTTATATATGGTAACTTTAGATCCCAATACCTGGAATATACGCCCTAGAGCATGTGATGGTAGAGCCCATAATCGTTCAGTTAAATAATCTCATTAGTGGATTGAAGCACGATAATGAAATCAAAATACAATAGGAGATTCATATTGGAGAGCATTGACCTTTCCTTTGGATGATGTTCCCAAGTCGTACCTGCACATTTTTAATTTGAGTTAAGATTCAAAGTAGCACACTCTATAGCAGAAGCATAATTGGAACATGCGAAAGCATGTAATAGCACAGTATGTTGTATAAAACTTCAAATAAATCCTTCAACAGAAGTATTAATGGGGGATACTACCAATATTGAATAAATGTTTCTGGAAATGGAACAGCACTGTTTAAGAACTCAGCTTGGGGCACGGAGTCAGCCTTGCCCCAGCCCGAGTTACCCAGTCGAGTCCAAGTGGACTCTCCAAAGTCGTGTACAAGGCTAAAACATAATAATAATAATAATAAATGTTAAAAACTAAAATAAAATAGGGAAAGTCCAACAAAACCAAAAAACACAAAAATCGAAATGAACTCAAAAGAAATATACAAAACAGGGGTTTAGAAATATTTCATTTACAGTTGGAGACATTTCAGAAAAATCCAAAAAAAAGAGAAAAATATAAAACTGGGGCATATGACAAAAAAACTCACAAATAATTGTCAAAGCATCTAATTGACATATAAAATGCTTATATATTGATTTCACAATTTAATATAGGGTTACCTAAAATTACCTTACTCCACCATGTAGTAACCTTTTTGCCAAGGGATATTTTAGATAATTAAATAGGAGTAAAATTGAAATTCTTGATAGAAAGAAGAGCATTTATTACCTACAGTGGAGAATAACATCATCATGACATCACTCACATGGAGCAATGATTGCTTCTTAACCACTAATAAATGCCACTACTTTCTTATAGAATTATCTATCGCAACCCTCCTAATTACGAAACGTGCCCTTACTAAAAAAAATTTGTATTACAAAACAAGGTTATATGTTGTCCAAAAAAGTTGAGTACATTAAAGGGTCGTTTGGATATCAGGAAATATATTATATGTGAAATATATTACTGCCGTAATACATTACCTGCAAATGGATTGTCACTGTTTGCGTAGTATTTTGATGCAACCTGGGAAATACATTACTACTGTTTGGCTATGTCCAGAGGAAATATGGAAAATGCATTACTAAAACTTATCATCATCATCAGATTTGTTGGCTTCCAACAATTCAAGCAAAGAGATGCAAATATGATGCCTTCATTTCACTATTAATTCATTCAAATTGCGAAAGTACCAATATGAGAAGCTTAAATAGACTAAAAACTAGAAATTGCATACAAACAATATAATGCTTTTTAGAAATGTAGAAATTTTCTCAAACAAAGGACACAAAAATAGAAAGTCATGGACAGAGGAGATCGAGTTCAGCATCACAACAAAAAAAAAATATGAGTATCTTACACTATAAACACCAATCTCCATACATTCAATAATCACAATAAACACCAAAAAAAATCAACATGAGTGACTGAAATTATTTTCATTGTATGCATTGAACAAATAATAACAAAAAATCTGAGTATCTTACACTATATTGATCAATCTCCATACAGATCAGAGAAAAGAAAACAAAGGAAAGGCATCATGGTACATAGCTCATGAGATTAAATAATCAACAAAAATCAAGAGAAAAGCATCAACATAGATAATAAAGTGCATGCAACATCCCAATAAATCAAAGAAAAAATCTCCGGAAAAACAGAAAAAGGATACCAAACAGATCGATTCCTAAAAACAAAAAAAACAAAACAAATCGATTCCTAAAAATCAAAATGTCAAAGAAAATCTCACGAAATGGAGACCAAACAGCTCGATTCATTAAAAAGATGCAATTTCATCACAAATCCATTCACAATTTCTTCATGCGTTGGTAATTGCAAGCAATATCTGAAACCCTGATAAAGGACATGGAGAGTCCAAAATGTCCGTAGAATGATACCCAAAAGAAGGCTGGGTAGAGAGAGAAGTATGAAGATTAACGAGAGCATACCTGAGCTTCAAGGGCTTGAAAGGGGTAGAGAGAGTGTGGGATTCGGTGGGAAGAACTTGGGGTTGCAAAGGAAGAGAGAAGAGGTGGCTTGGGTAGACTAGAAAGAGAGAGAGGGGAATGGGTTTCGTGAGTGAACTTGGGTTTGCAGAAGAAGAGAGAGAAGAGGCGGATTGGGTAGAGTAGAGAGAGAGGGGAATGGGTTTTGTGAGTTTTGAGAGAGAGAGAGAGGCGCGAAACATTTCCCACAAATTAGACGCGTGCAAAACATTTCACAGATTACCTGTCGAGCGGGTAATATATTTTTCACCTCTCCCCAAGCGTAATCGATTTCATGGTTTTTGGGGAAATCTTGTGCAATATCGCATAATGTATTTTCATTTCCTTACCGTTCAAATGTACCCAAACAGAGGACATGTCATATTTCCTCATAATTTATTTTCATGTAATAGATTTCCTGGTATCCAAACGACCCCTAAGGGAATACTTATATGTATGAGTACCCTAATCCTTAATATATGCTTTATCATTTCTTATTTTTTCTAAATACGCCAAGTTTTTCTAGGTCCGAGTAGCCGAGTTCGAGTTGACTCAGCCGAGTCCTTGAACACTGTGGAATAGTGAACAGTAAAAAAAATACATCACCCCACATCAATCCATGTATTTCTTAGACTAGGAAATTGGTATGTATAATACAAGTAGTATGATTCCAAAAAGAGATAGATACTTGTTCAAAGGAATTTGACACCAAAAATAAGGGATAATTCAAAAGTAAAAGCACCATTACATTCAATGTCAATTACATTCAGGCAATATGTGTTGTGTACAAAAGAGGGCTCGTCTCCTCTAATCACATATAAATATTAATTGGATTCAAAATCTTTTAATGGCTATGATAGCCCCAGGATTTATTTGGGTCCCACCCCATTGTATTACCATGTCGAATGGATCTACAAGTGCAATGGATCTAGTACTTGACTACTTGGATGTTACAATATTTTATTTTCTCTCATTATTTCTCCATATAAAGAAGAACCTCACTTATAGATAATCGCTTTCTCACTCTAGGCCGTTAGGAAATTGGTAATTCACATCTTTCAAAAGATGGTTTTTTATCTCTTTCATTTCTTTTGGGGCTTATCCTTGCCTCCAGAATACAATTTCAGATCTTCCATAGCATCTCCATTAGAACCACTTGAATGGTGTAATGATGGTCCCAAACCTTGTGGACTTCTTTTGCACCAAAATGTGAATCAGCTTCCAATATTTGTTCAGGATATGGTTCTGGTGTTGAACCTCCATATGATTGCTCGCCAATCCCATGACGAGGATTTGAACACAAAAGGAAGGTTCCAATCATCTTAGACCTTTACAGTGTACTTTAGATTCTTGAAAGTAAGATCTTGTAGTACCATCCCAATTTAGGTATAGGATTAGCAATAATATGTAATTTTTGAAGTTGTTCAGTCATTCATCACTTGGGCATGTCATCTATATAGATTTGTTATTTAAAAGAATGGATCCTTCTGAACTTCGAGGCTAGAAATTCCTTAAAGAATTAACATGCTCAAGGTTCTAGACTACCTGATTTATAGCCTGTGTAAAATTCTAGAACAAGACCCCTCAAATGCATACTTCACAGTCACTCCAGTTACCTAAATTTCAGAGATTCTCGAGTGCTATCCAGACTTTTCTGACCCCATTCTCTTCCATGGTAGCTTACTTCACACAAGCACATGTGGACACGGAAACACACATCTGTAGCCTATTCCACATCTACTAAACATTGGGCTAAAAGAAGAATTTGTTGACAAATGGGGTGCCGAAAATAGTTCAGAAAAAAAAAGTTACTTATTTTATTAAAAAAAAAAGAGGAAAAAGGCAAACAAACTTGTTGATTCCAAGCATTCACTTTCTTTAGTGCATTCCAGTACCAAGTAGTTCAATTGACTTTTTTTAACCTTTTGCAATTTGTCAAATTTCTAGTCTTTCTCAACCCATGTAAGCAATTTTTCCAAAGCCCCATTTGAGTTTCTTATATCCAAGCCCCAGCACCCATTTAAGTTTCTTAATAACTGCCGTAGCGGTAGACTAGTAATGCATGGTTCATGTGTGAACCCTATTGCTTCTAATTTAATCATATTATCTTAATTTTCGGTATATATCCTCATTCTAAACCAAAGGATCACGTATTTGTTAAAGAGAAATGCAAAATAAAAAAATCAATCAGAAGCCAAATTGAAAGCCTAATACATCAAATGACAATAAGGGAAAGCCATTAATTTGGTCCAGTCCACTAAGAAAACGGAAGAAAACCAATAAATATATATAGAAACAGGAAAAGAAAAGAATGAAAACTCAGGACACTCGATCAATCAAAGTATACGAAATGGAAAAGATGAAAACAGAATGAAAACCATGACTGAGGTCCAATTCAATTTACAGAGCAAGACTTTCAACCTTTCTTTTGATATTTAAAGGAAGACAATTACTGGATGTATAATGGAAGAAAAAAAGAAAGAGAAAAGAAAACAAATCAGAAATCCGTAATCATGGGTGAGAGAGAAAGAGCGTACATCGGTACCTAATACTTTGGCTCCCCGATTTTGAAGAGCGGACCACGGAGGACGGAGAGCAGAAGCAGGAGCAGCAGCAAGTAGATGCTGCAGCAATCGCCGTCTTCCCGACTGCATTTATGCCCACCACAAACGCAAAGACGAAGAGAGAGAGAGCTCAAATGCTGCGTTTTGTGTTAGAGAGAGAAAGAGAAGTCCTCTGGAGGCGGAGAGGTTGTTACAGTAAGAGACCGTGCGCCATTGATACAGGCATTGCTGTTTTATACACAACACGTGCGTGCATCTGGTTTTCTGAAGCCGCAAAGAAGTTAGAAAGGAAATTACCATACGAGCATTTGCCCTTTTTTCTTAAACGATTCCATGTTCCTACGGGATCTATTTGAAATCCAAAGAAATCAAAGGATTTTCCCCATCAATTTTTGTCAGGGATTTCTCAAATTTTCGATGAACTAGTAAAAATTCATGCATTCCTTGCTATCACTTTTATCTTCATTATTTGGAATAACAAAACTTGATACAATTTTTTTCTCTAAAAGTTTTATATACTTTCTTTATCTAAAATTTAAAATTTGGGATAGTGTATTTTTAAATTTTTTGAGATAGTTTCTCTCTCTAAAACTTTATATAGTTTGTCTTTTTTAAATTTAAAAATTTTTAGGTGCTTTGCTCTCTCTAAAATTTAATATACTTTCTCTTTCTAAAATTTTAAGATACTCTCTCCCTCTAAAACTTAAAACTTGAAATAATTCCTCTTTTCAATAATTTTGAAATAGTTTCTCTCTCTAAATATTTTTAAGTATTTTCTCTCTCTAAAATACGATATAGTTTTTCTTTTAAATTTTAAGATACTTTCTCTTTCTAAAAGCTAAAATTTGAGATAATTTCTCTTTAAAAATTTTGCGATAGTTTTTTAAAAAAAAAAAGTTATACACTTTCTCACTCTAAAATTTGATACTTATGCTTTCTCTCTCTAAACCTTCAAGTTTAAGATAGTTTCTCTCTCTAAAATTTTAAAATAGTTTCTCTCTTTAAATTTTGATATAGTGCCTTTCTAAACTTTGATATATTTTTTCTCTCTAAAGTTTAAAATTTAATATACTTTCTCTCTCTAAAACTTAAATTTTGATATAGTTTCTCTCTCTAAACATTTTTTGAGAAAGTTTATCTCTCTAAAAATTTCATGTACTTTCTCTATTTAACATTTGATATAGTTTATCTCTCAAAAATTAAAATCAGGAAAATCAAAATCAATGTACCCAAACAGGTTTTTACACTAGTGTTTTAAAAACTCGGATCGGCTCAATGAACCGGTCATCTAGAAATTCTTTCAGGATCGGCAATATGTTCTAGTGAATTGGACTAATTCTTAGGAAAGGGGCTGGGGTCGTGATGGTACCATCCCCATGACCAATTATCACATCATATTATCAATTTTTACTGCTGACATCTCCAATTAATACCTTCAAAATGTAAATCCATGTCTTCCCTACTAAATTACCCAAAAAAGAGAACTAATTATTTAATATGAGAATCAATCTAAAAGAAATTTAAAAAATGTAATATATATAATTGTCTTCCCCACTGAATTGTCCAAAAAAAAAAATTGGACTAATTATTTAATACGAGAATCAATCTAAAAAAAAATTAAAAAAATATATATAATATGTTGAACTGATCAATCGAGAACACCCATGCCCTTGATAGACTTGCCTAGTTCCCTAATGGAGTCGGGCAAGTCCAAGGCAACCGGATTGATTCTCCATTCCGATAAAGAACTTACTCTTACCGTATAAATTTTCGATCCACCCATACTTAACAAGTAGGCAAATAACAATATATCGGCAAACTAGAATATTGGTAAGAAATTGGGTTTGTTCAAAAAAATCAAAGGTAAAAAACATTGGGTAAAATGTCCACAGATTTTAATCCATTTTCTATAGAGCCCAAGTCAATTGTCTAACTCGCCCAAGTCAGCCTCTGACTCAAACTCAAGACCTTAAGAGTGTCTGAGCATCGCCTAGTTCCTTGACAGACTTGTCTGGTTCTCTAATAGAGCCAGGCGAGTCTAAGGCAACCAGGTTGATTCCCCATTCCAATAAAGAATTGACTCTATCCATATCAATTTTCGATCTAGACATCAGTTTTTAAAACATTGGGTTACACCCATAGTTAACAAGTAGACAAACAACAATGTATCGGCGAACTAAAATATTGGTAAGAAATCGGGTTTGTTCAAAAACGTCAGAGGCAAAACATTGGGTCAAAAGTCCATGTATTTTAATCTATTTTCTATAGAGCCCAAGTCACTTTTCTACCTCGGCCAAGTCAACCTCCGACTCAAGCTCAAGACCCTAGAGTGTTTGAGCATGAGTTCAAGATATTGATCACTTATGTTCAAAATATGTTATGCTGGAATTGATTATTAGGTTTATGGGGTCTTTAAAGGCCTTGTGAGAGACTATATAAAATATATTTAATAAATAAAATATAAACTCAGTGGGAGTGTGGTCCTTTTGTGGACCATATTAGGCAAATATTATTTGTTGATACGTGGATTATGCTCGACGAGTTAGGCCAACCGAGGTTTGGAAAAACCTAAGATACTTGGGCATAGGGATCTAACTGAGAAGGGTTTAGTGGATTAACCATTGATGAGGTCAGTGTATGCCTGGATGAGAGCCAAGGGACCATGTGGCCCTTACATATAATGAATAACATTTAGAGACTAGGCTATAATTTTATCGTTATATCATTACACGGCATGTACATAGATAGCCGTTTTGAGATTCGTCAATGAGGGTGAAGCGTGTAAATGTGAGAGAGATTACCCCTACGTACCATAGAGTCATGGTTGCATCCTAGTCTAGAAGACTATGGTTTTTTTCTCTAAGGGAGAACTTGAAATCCATAAACTATGATTGTGTCCCTTAGTCTATTGGCTGACTTTGGTGATCCAATTATGAACCCCTGTAGTGAATTGTGGGTCATGGGAACTGGAAGGTCAGTTTGAGAAAGCTAGGCGAATCGTGATTCGCATTTGAAGGTTGAGTGCTCCCATGTATTGATAATTCCCTAGATCTAACGGATCTAATTCCCATCAAAATTAATTAATTTCATTTTATATGATTTTTAGAATTTTTATTTTAATTTTTGTGAATCTTCTGTTATTTTATTTTGTCATTTGGATTTATAAATTAAAATAAATTAATTTTTTAATGTTTTAAATAAAATAAAATATTTAAATATTCTAAATATGAAATAAAATATTTTTTAAAAATATATGGGACCTCTATAAAATATGGGGCCTAAAATTTAAAAACATATTGATTAGGTGGGCCCACACGAGGCCACCAAAAGGGTGGCACACCCTACTCATTTACGTATTCTTCTTGAGAATAATGTTTATATTTACTAAATGTTTGAATCAAGATTAAAATTTCCTTATTTGATGGGAATAGATTTAAGAATTGAGGATAAGGCTCTAGCTCATCTATTTGAATCTTTATGTTAGATTAAGAAGATGGATTACTCAAATCTTTCACCCCACAAGTCTCCCTAGATCGACTGTTGAGGATTGACCCTGGCAAAATATATGGTAAAAGGAAATCTAGCCGAAATTTAGCTCTCTCCTTACCCAAAATTTAGCTCTCTCCCTAGATTCCCTAAGGGAGGCACGCCCAAATTTTTATCTCTCTCCAAGTTGTTTTGGGTAGTACAGAAAATCTCACCCTCATAAAATTACATACTTATTTTTTTTATCTTTTTAAGAATCATGTCTTTCTCTACTCGAAATTTAGCTCTCTCCCTAGATTCCCAGGTAGGCACCCGAAATTTATTTCTCTCCTTAGATTCCCAAAGGGAGGTAATGTTGGGTTTATATAAACTTTAACTGCCTTATGAGTGTTTGTTAAATGAAATGATATAGCGGAACATGAACTCAGTGGGAGTGTGGTCCCTCGTGGACTATACTAAGCAAACGATGGTTTGCTGACACCGATCTATGCTTAACGATCTAGGCCAATCGGTTGGGAAAAACCCATATTACTTGGGCATGAAGAACGAACTGATGAAGGTTTATAGGTTAGCCCTTGATGAGGTCTAAGAACATGTCCGAATGAGTGAGCCGAGTGACTGTGTGATCCTTGTGTGTGATGATGGCCTATAGAGGCAGGGGTTAAAACCTCATCCATGTGCTATTACACGGCATGCATATCGATAGATCATTCAGAAAAGCCAGAAATCCCCTTTTAGGGTGAAACGTATGCATGTACGAGAGATACCCTTATGCGTCATAGAGCTGTGGTTGCATAAGGCCTTGGTGACCTTGACTTGTCTATAAGGGATGACTTATAATCTACAGATTGGGATTGCGACGGCTTGGCTCATCCGTCAGACTTTGGTGACCCGCTAATGAGCCCCTGCTTGGACTGTGGGCCATGAGAAACATTGGATCGGTCTGATAAAATAAGTGTGGTCAGTAGTCCACGGTTGAAGATGGAGTGCCCCATGATTGTTGATTCCTAAACCATATGGATCTTTTTCCTATCAAATTAATTTAATTGCGTTTTTTTATTATGAAAATTATTTTAAGATTATTATTTGAATTTTTATGATCTCCTGGATATTTTATTTATAATTTTTAGATTTATAAAATTAAAGATATTGATTTTACAATTATTTAAATATTCAAATAATATTCTAAAATCATTTTATTAATTTTAAATATATAAAAATATCATGGGGGCCCATTGTGCACATGGGCCCGTCATATTTTTAGACTGTGGAGCCCATGAGTGCCTCCCTTGGGTGGCACGGCCCACCCTAATTCTATTTCCTATTTTTTTGGTGATATGACATATGGCCATATGGTTAGAAGATATTGACTTGATATATCTTTGAAATATTATGTGGAAAGATTGAGTAGACTGGTACTATTTTATGGTATGCACTATTTTGATTAGATTTAATTTATTTAATTTCTATTGATGAGAAAATGGTTTAAGAAAGGGGGATAATGGTTCACGCACCTTCCATAATGTTGATGGCTCATCTATGAAATGGATGGCACAGATCTCTCACCCCACAAGTCACCCTTGATCGACGGTCTATGTCGAATCTCACAAGAAGAGGCAAGCCAAAGAAAACCCTAATCTTATTCAAAGCCTATAAAAATGGATTGTCTCTACCAAAATATCTCTACACCTTATCTTTCTATCTCTCTCTTAAGAAAGTTTATCTATCTCATGTTTGTTCTCTCTCTCCCACATTGTGAAAAAACCTAAGGGTTTAGGTTATGGAATTCTTCTCTCATATCTCTCAAGTATGGACTTACGGCTAATGGTTTTAGAGTTTAGCAAAAAGAGAATCAATCTCTCTCAAACTACGTTGCTAAGAGAATTCATCTAGGGTTTGAGTTTGTGATCAAAGGGGTTCATGTTCCATTGGTGTGGCTTGGCCGAAATTTGTTTTCTCGAC